AATTCTGAAAAACAGGGAGGCAGTGGTGATAACTGTTAATAATATATCAGGATTCGTATCTATAGATAAGGACGGAAGTTGGGTTTGCACTAGCAGACATAAGCAAAAAACAAATCATCATCCAGTTGTGATTCCATTTTTTGCTTATGTGATTAATTTATTTACCACAGTTCCAGCGATTTTATTCCATTTTTTGTGCTTTATTTAGATTGCCTAATATTGGGAAATGAAAAGAGTGGTGATTATTACGTTGGTTTTGGGCATAAGAGAATGAAGTCCAAAGAGTTTATTAACAAATGGCCCTACATTAGAATGATGAATAACTTCAATCTATTCTCAAATAGCTCATGAGTATAGGAACTTTTATTTCCATCTTTTTTTTCCTGTTAGATTTTTAAAACCTAAACTTTTAGAGTTCAATATTGTGGTTGATCTCATATTGATCTAACTATATACGATATGTCATGAATTTGAATGTACGTAATTATTAAAAAATACAGTATAGGATTGCCAAGTTTCCAACTCTATTTTTTCCTTGTTGTTTTTTGCGTTCGATTATTTTGGTATCTTGAAACTGCATATGTTTGATGGTTCAGATTTGCAAGCATATTATATTGGAATACGTTTATGGATAAGAGTTGGATACATTTACATAGATTGGACCTGTTGTGCGAACAAGGCGTTAAGAATTTTATCAAGTTTGCATGTGAAAATAAACCAAATGCATTGGAACTCACGTGCTCATGCAAAAAATGTCGTAATATTAGATTGGTAAAAGTGGAACTTTTGGAAGAGCATTTGACTGTAGATGGGTTTCTTGATACACTCGTTGGATTTTTCATAGGGAAAGTTCATTTGCTTCGGTTTCTAGAGATAATGAATCAAGTGACTCTAGTTTGGGAGATAAAATTCAAGAAATATTGCATGATGCATATGGGATTCCTCCTCCAAGTCCAGTTTGTGGAATGAGTAGTGACGAACCTGAAAGGGATAGTAGAGAAGTGTCAAATTAGGCAACAGAAAAGTTTTTTAAACTGTTGAGTGAAGCTGAACGAAAGTTATATCCGGGATGTACCAAATTTTCGACATTGCCATCTATCGTTCAATTGATGCACATTAAGTGTCTTAATCGATGGAGCGACAAGTCATTCACAATATTGCTTCAAGTACTAAAGGATATGTTACTTGAGGGTAACACGTTGCCCACTTCATTTTATGCAACTAGGCAGTTGATTAAAGAGTTAGGTCTAGATTGCATTAAGGTACATGCATGTCCCAATGATTGCATGTTGTATTGGAAGGAGACAGCTGCTAGGAATAATTGCCAGAAATGTCAAACATCTAAATATAAACAAATTGATGGTCAAGAAGATGAAACAAATATTGAAGGGCAAAAAAATCCCACAAAAAGTTGTAAGGTATTTCCTTTTAATATAGAGACTTCAGAGATTGTTTATGGAATTGTAGCAAGCATTGATGCAAAAGAGTGGATGAAAGGATATCTAATGAAGTCTATAGGGTGGAAGTGGAAAGATTAGAAGTGTGAGATTAAGAAACAAGCTTGTTATCCCAAACTCCAGATATATGATATCTCTCTCTTTGAATAAGATCTTAATTCCAATGACAGTTCCAGCAGGTTAGGGGCAGTCCGGGCATAGGATCGAATCTTGCCACCTTTCTTGTGGATCATCCTGTGGTTACTAGATGATGTGAATTAAAAAGCAGAAATTTGGAAATAAGCACGAAATGTCAATATATGAATTGTTTCATTATTCGTTATTTTATAAATAGAATTGTTGATAAAAATCGTATATCGTTATATAATAAAGACAGAGAAAGAACACATTTTTTTATTCTTAGATTATATGTAATGTAACATAGTAATTATCTTTTTCAATTGGGAGAGATGGCTGAGTGGACTATAGCGGCGGTTGTACGAGTTTTAAAATTCTCAATTCTCTAGGACGTCTAGATGATAAAATATTTTCTGGAACGGATACTCCTTGCTCATTATCACACAATCACTTATTCACAAACCTCGCGTGAGGCTAATAGTTTTCAATTGTAGCCAATATCTTATTACGAATAATTTCGACAATTTCAGGAGAAAAAGAGGCATTTACATATTATAAAGATGGTGTAATTTGATTATTATTATTTTTTTGATGTAGAAAGATTAGCTTACAAGCCTAACCGAGTGGAGGAATCACAATGGCGGGCCTTGGTCTATTATTGGAGCACTCCGAAGGCACGGGTACAAATATGCAAGTGTAAATCTTGTCAATTCTAAAATAAGTCATTTCTCTTTCTTCAAATTTTTATGATAATTGCTTTTGGCATGTAATAGGGAAAAAGTGAGAGGAACAAACTCATTCGGAGCAAGAAAAAATTTCATCATACCATTGGCCGAACGAACTTTGCATGTGTTATGGAAAGGGTTTGTTAGAAAACAAATGTGTGTTATAAAAGACTTTTATTCAAGTTATTTATTGTGTCTATTTTAACTGTAGGAAAAGAAAAAGCATAATGGGAAGAAAATGAGTTGTATTGAAGTTTTTAAGGTTGCATATTCAAAGAAAGATGGTCGACCAGTTAATGATGCTGTTGCACAAGCCTTGGTATGCAATATTGGCAAGAAAGATGTTCACTATTTATCCATTCTTATTTTGCCTATGTTTCATATTTATTTCAAATTATTTTTTGCTAGAGTCAGACATGGATGAACTTGTGTCACAAATGCCAGAGTCTTCTATGCAATCTTCATCTGTAGTAGATGAAATTTTCACTCAAGTCATGGGACTGGAGTGACCTGGAGGTGTTAGAACATATGATTTTGGACCATCTTCGAGAGATGTGTTTGGACATAAAAAATCAGAAGAGATGCAAGAAATGCAGTCCCAGCGAGATGAGCAATTGAGCAGACATAAGGCAGAGATGAAGGCTAAGCAGTTAGAGATGGAGGCTTAGCAAGCACAAATGGAGAAGCAAATGACTCAGATGGAAGCTAAGTTTGAGGCTCAACAAAGACAATTTGTGGTTTTTCTTGTTAAAATGTGTGCAATGGGTATGCTTATTCCCAAACCAGCTCGCAAAAACATAGATCCACTTCAGGTTGAAAAGGTAATAAAAACTTTAGCGACTTATATTTCGAGTTAGAAGAGTTATTGTATTATTGTATTATTTTTTTCCATGAATATTAAGTATTTGCAATCTTAAAAGGTACTTGATGCATCTAGTACTCATAATATAAACTCTCATCGATCATCGATGAGGAGTGAGTCAAGAAGTCCGGCAGTGCAAGACATAGAGTTTCAAGGTCATTCTAGAGCATCTTCATTTGGTCAGGTGAATCAATAAATGGAATAGTAGCTAAAATATTACATGAGTTTGTTGACTAGTATCTTTTTTTGTTAGTTAAATATCTTTGCTTGTTGGGTTTGAGTTTGATGTTATTGGAAATACAAATATGTTCATTTTTATTGTTTTATATGGAATTCATGTGTTAATTTATATTAAATGTAGGTTCATCAACAAAAGAGAGCGAAATTGCAGCATGTTAATAACAATGAAGCGAAATTCCCTCCCAAATGACTCTCCCTCTTCCATGCCATGGATATGTCAATAGTTGGTAAATAGGCGATGGTGGCTGCTCTAGGTAATTCGAAAGATTACACAATGAAGCAGTATGTTGTGTTTGTGGATAAGTTGCAGGCAAAATAGTGAATAAGAGTGACTTTGATGCTTATAAACCTCTTATTTCTTGTGATCTTGATGTGCTATGCTATAATTTGACTGAACTATTAGGAATTAGGGTCCTTGACACTTCTAACACTTATCATTTGACAGCAAAAATATTGGGCATTGAAATCTTAATTTCTAAAACTGCATTGGGTGTTTTGGGTGTTTTGTTCCAGTTGTGGAACCTTCCCTCTTCTTGTTTCTTTTAGTTCATGAGATGGTTTCCCTTTGGTGCTATCCATTTGGTGTTGTCCCTGCAGTGTTGCCCACTGTCGCCTTGGTGTTTTCTGCTCTGTCTGCTCACAGTATGTTAGGCATCCCCAATGTTTTATGCTCTGTCTGCAACACGTTAGTGTGAATTTTTCTGTTTTCTCAGATTGTTTGGATCTATGGTGAGGAATTTAGTTGGAAGTTTAAGCTCAACTAAATATGGAACTGCTGACATATTCAATTTGAGTAGTCTTTTTTGTTGCGAATGAAACTCTGTCGAATGCCAGTTATTATTGCTGGTTTCAGTTTGTTTGAGCATTGGAAAACTTGTTGGAGCCTAATTGTTTTGGAATTGAAGTTTATCATGCCTCTGTTGCTGCGGGTTGCTGCAAGATTGTTTCGGCGAATGTCGTCACCCTCCCGGTGGCCCACATCGTTTCTGATCGGTCGGGGCAGAAATATAGTGCAATAACAATGGCGATTTTGGCTTGTCGATGCATATGATTATATATGTTAACACCATGATGAATTTTGGAGGTTTTAATTGCATGTTTTTGTCCTTCTACTGGATGGTGAAATCTTCTTTACTTTTTGTAAACCTTCAGATTATGACAATTTGGTTTTGATGGAATTTTATGTAAGACTTATTATTAATACGGGCATGGTTATGAGTGCTCTCTCTCTCTCTCCATCTCTCTGTCTCTCCTGCCAAAAAAAGTGAAAATGCAATGAGCTAGGTTTTATTATACAAAAAAATATCAATTATCATTACTGACGTTTAAATAAACGCCGAAAATCAGTTGCTTAGAAATAATAATTACTGGCGTTTATATAAATGTAGTGAAATAGCTCGGGCCACCGAAACTTAACAATGAAGTTGTCGATTAAATAAGCATCGCTTCAATGTATAGCAAATGTCACTTTAGTTTTTGTAGTGTTTAATTATACATTCGTAGTTTTTCTGACGGAGGTTTTAACAATGTTAATAACAAACGTTAATAATAATATTTTGTGGCATTTATTTACATTTTAGCGGTGTTTAATAAACGCCAATGAAAGTCTTATTTCTTGCAATGAGCAATGGCATTTGGTCAACTGACTTGGGGTTCTTGGAGAGCCTTGGTGACAGTGTTGGAAGAGAAAATGATGTGAATGGTAAAGGTAGTCCTACAATGAAAGAGTTGGTTGATTCAGTGAAATGGCCGGGGGATCTAGAGCCGCCTCGGGTTCCCAAAGGATGGTCAATGCCTACAGCTAAGAATAAACTGAAGATTGGGTTTCCAAGTGAAGCCTCTTTCAAGCAGTTTGTGAATGTAGAATTGCCCAATAATCACAGTGAAAAAAAACCTACTGGTTACTGCTTCTGTGTCTTCGAGGAGATTGAAAAATTTTTGGAATATAGGGTACTTGCTGAATTTGTGGAGAGTGAAAGCTCCTATGATGAACTAGTTGCTCGGCTTGCTGATAAGGTAACAATTCTGTCACTAAATTTTTCTTGAAGCCTCTGATAATATCATAGGCCATTTTCGAATTGAATAACTAAGATACACCAGTTTAAGGTTCTAGACTAGACAATTGTTAACAAACATGACTATTTGGTTCCACCAAACATGACTATATCTGTACACTTTTGTTATTTTCAATGAATTGCACAAAAAATTGTTACAATGGTCACAACACAGACATTTACTTCACCCCTTGCCGCTTAGTTGTCCACAACATATACTTATGTTGGTTTTTGAGGTGTGTTTATCTTTGAATTTAAAGCTAATGAGTCAATCTCTTTTTCTGTTCATTCTAACCTTTACAATCCAAAAGTGTCATATGGTTGGTGTCAATGACATTTGGTCTGATTTAATGTTAAGCGACGGCGATGGGATTTGAACCTTCTTGCCAACTCCTGAAAAAAGAAAATTTTTCCGATTCACTATTGATATGTAGTTGGTTTAAAATCAAACATTGTGAACAACAACTGCAAATTTACAATTGTCCCACTTACAAAAGCCCCTTGATTTTGTGGTAGATTTTCTTTTTCTGTTTGTGTGTGTGAGAGAGAGAGAGAGAGAGAGAGAGAGAGAGAGAGAGAGAGAGAGAGAGAGAGAGAGAGCAACTTAAGTCAATTATGTGGAGTTGTTCTTTTTTGTGTTATTGTTTTTGGGGTTTGGTTGGGTGGGTTCTTTTGAGAAAGGAAAACTATTGCAAAGGCACTATGGGATTCATGAATATTCTTGAGTTTGTTGGGTTTTATTTGTGGAGTCTACTTTGTGTTGATCCGGATGATGATCCGATCCGAAATAATGTTGTGTGATTTTTTTAATAGGAAATTTTCTAATTTGTCCAAGCCTCTGCTCCATGGACAAGCCTTGTGGGGGTCCGAGGGCAACGCCTTGGGAAAAATTTTTTTGGGCTTGTTTTGTAGTCTAGTGCATAGGACATATAAAAACTATTATTTTGGTGATTAGGGTTGTATCGGTACTGTATGGTCGTTCTCTGTACTTCTTCTCAATAGTAAATATCCTACAGTTTCATGGACATAGGTAAATTGTCAAATCACGTAAATATTGTTTTTTGTGTGTATGATTGTTTTTCTTTGACGAATGTTTTCTCTATTTTTGTTTCTCACAGGTTTGAAAATTTCATGCAAATTTTTTTAACGAAGTTGGTGTCTAATATCTCTTAAATTTTTTCATCACTGACGAGGATGTATGCTTCTTGTGTGAATCAAATCTTATGGAAAACTTATGATGGTATTGTTGGTGATATCACGATACGAGCGGACCGTTCAAAGTACGTGGAATTCACTGAACCATTTACAGAATCAGTGCTCTCCTTGATAGTTCTAGTGAAGCCAGAAGCTCCCACTGGATGGATGTTTTTGAAGCCTTTCACCTGGGAAATGTGGACAGCAACTGGGATCATCTTGATTTAGACAATGTTTGTAGTTTGGTTCTTCGTGCATCGATCTAATCCAGAATTCAGTGGCACATGGAGGGATTAGCTTGCCAAGTCGCTTTGGTTCACCTTCTGTACTCTTTTCTTTGCTCATAGTAAGTACATTTTTTGTCGGGCTAGTGAAGCAAAAACACTGATCCTATTTAGTTTACAGCTCAAAAGCTGTTTTCTGTTTTCGGAAACATTTGAAGAAAAGTTGTTTGGACAGTTACTTTTTGTTTTTATTTTTTGAAAACTGAGAATAAAAACTAGACAGATTTATAAAATAAGTTGGAGTTGTTTTATGTGTTTTTAGAAACAACTTTTCCTGAATTTAGAAAACACCACTACCACTACTACCACCACCACCACCACACTACAACCTCCACCACAACATTTTTGTTTTCATTGTTTTCTAAGTTACTATCCAAACAAATTTTACTGTTTTCTATTTCGTAGAACTATTTTTAGAATTATATAACCAATCAACTTCTGCGATATAAAAAAATACCAAAAATATTTTTTTAAAACTCTTCACAAAAATAATTTTAAATTATTATTTTTTGAGCCGTAAACCAAACAATGCCACCCATTTTTGTTGTCTTGGTTGAATAAGCCTGCCTATTAGAAACAACCATGTCAAAAATAAGAAATTTTGTTCATCTACTAATATATATATATATATATATATATATATATATATATATATATATCATTCATTTGGTTCATAACAGAGGAGAAAGTTCAAAGCAACTATACTCGAGTGGTGGTCGGGGAGTGGCTTTTTGTGGTGTTGATCTTAACACAAAGTTACACTGCTAGCGATATTCTATCACTCCGTCCATCTACAGATTTGGAGGATTTGGTTTTGTAAGTGAATACGCATGTTTTTGTTTATTTCCTGTGAACAACCCACAATATTGTTCTTACATGTCCTCGATCGATGCAGGCATTCCAGAAAGGTTCTCCGATAGCTGTAGATGTATCTGATGCCATTCTACATCTATCAGAAAATGGCAAGCTGAAAGAATTAGAAGATAGACTGTTTACTCCTTCCTCTGAATGTTCAACGTTGCAAATTGCTGAAGACAAGGATAGCTTGCAGATTCAGAGCTTCTAGGGTCTATACCTCATCTCCATTGCCACTTCAACCATTTGTTTTCTGTCATTCATCATACACTTACTATGAATTACCGAAACCACAAGAAGAACAAGTTGGCGACATCAACTCAAGTTATGACAACATTTGGAAGAGGGCACAGAGACTGGCACAATACTTGAATAACGTAGAGATTAGCAATTCCAGAGACAACTCCAACCACTGGTAGGTACTCAGGCAACAAACAATACACAACATGTTTTAAAGTATCTGATTTTTGGCCAACCATCGATATTATGCAGAATTATCGTGACGATTTATTGTTAATAATATGTACTTAGGTCACACTACCTATGATATAAATTGTTGTCATGTCATCTGTATAAACTAGTGCTAGACAATGTATCTCTCTCAGGATGCGAAGAATATTTGAAACCAATCTCGAATGATTACACAGATTACAACTCAACTGTCCATGATATGGTAAGATCGGAAATGAAGGAAAAAAAAACGATTCTATGTGCAGATGTGAAAGCTCTATGAATAGAAGCATTCTACCCTATCCTATTTGAATTTAGAGAGTAACAATTCCCTTCTCATGCATTACAATGTAGAAGTTATTATACATCCTTTTCTTTGTGTTTCACCATCCTTGGAATGTATTTTGTAAACCCCTGTACTTAGAATTGACTTGTAAATGCCGAATTAATTATATATGTGCTATTATGGGGTTTGATATGGGACATTAGTGCGAGGAAATCTCGTTAGAAATAAACTTAGGAAGAATTGGGGGAGGATAGCGTAATTTATTAGGAAACACACATAAGATAAGTTACACATTTTGGGGTAAATTAACATTAGGGTTAATAACATTTTTGATCCCTAAAGTATGCAGTTTTTGTTAGTTTAGTCCTCATTGTATCAATTTTGTCAATTTAATCCCTAAAATATTCAGTTCTTGTTATTTTGGCCCTTACATAGACGGACCGTTAAGTTTTTGATGAATGATCACGTGTTGGACATGTGATACCGTCTAAAAAAATAACATGTTCCGTAAAAAAATTGATGTGTTATCTGATTACGAACCAAAGTGACATAGATTGAATTCTTTAAGGATCAAATTGACAAAATTGATACAATGATGATTAAACTGACAAAAAATATATATTTTAGAGAGCAAAAGTGCTAGTAACCCTTAACATTACAACTGAGTTCAGAAGGTCAAAAAACATAGGGAATGGAAGAAATGGGAAAAAATAAACTAGCTTGGAAAAAATGGTATTGACCAGATTATAAGGTGGTCGACCGACTTAGGCAGTTTGGCCGGGGTTTTGTATTCGATTTTCACCAATCTACGGTTATTTGGGATTTATCTCGTAGGAGGTGGGATTTCTTTCTCAGACTCATTATCAATAATGCATTTCACATATGTTTCGAGATGACGATGTTATTGAATTGATATGCTGAAACTTATAATATTGAGATCTATGTTGGATATGGAAATGCTTAACGTGTTTTTCATAACATGAATATTGTATTAGTTACCGATGTTGGATTATTGTAAACTTATTATTTTGGTCGGATTTGGAAGCATGGAGGGACAATATTGATGTTAGAAAAGTAGGTGAGGAATACCACAAGATGATAGTTGCTTGTGTGGTGTATTATATTTGTTTTCCCACTAACTAACATTGTAGGGTTTATGGATGGTGTTCTCATAAGTCATTGGGAGGATCGATTAGCAGTGTCAAAGGACGGTTGTTGCCTATATGTTGCTATGGATACCTAGTACTAACTTTCCTAGAAAAACAAGAAGAATATTGTGTTCCCTAGGATGCAAGGCCTCAAAACTCGCCGGGGATTGGTTTAGTCCATGTGTGGACTAGTTACGTTTTGGTCGGTTCTAATTAATAGATACTTGTGACATGCTAGAGTCTTCTAACATGCATACCATGTTTTATTGCATAAAGATATGAATATTGATTTAGGGAGTATAGTAAAGTAATGTGTGATCTATGGCATGTTATATATTTATTGTTTTCAAAACCTTGATAGTGTCTGAGAAAATTGATCGAGATGTTGGGGATATCGTCGGGGAGTATAAATACGGAGCTTGATTTCCTCTTTTATTGTTGTCTTAGAATGTTATGTAAGATGAGAGAGTTTTGTACTAAACATTAATCTTTTGATTCAGCTGTAATTTTATTTAGATCAAGGGTTTGTAAACTTTAAACAATAAGTGATGACTTTGTAAGAGTTAGTACCTTATAGATGGCTCGTTTGGTAGATGTATTATGAGTGAATTAAATATTATATTGTACTATTATTAATTTAATCGGGTCTAAACTTTGTTTGATGGAGAAATTTGATTCCGTATTAATTTTAAAAACGTATACTAATCGTATATTATATTTTTATAATCAAACTCAAATATATTGTTGTACACATTTACTATTATAACTCTACAACTGATAAAACCAAACTGTCATGTGTTGTGTTTGTCAAACACTTAATAAAATTACGTATTATTCCAATATCTCATTTAATTTTGTATTTTATCAATCTATATAGTATTAGACTGATTTTTTTTATTTAATCCACTCATTTTTAATACGGCAACAAAACGATCTGTATAACTGCAATACTTTTTCCTATCCTACCGTTCTTATAATCATGCAGGAATTGCTAGTATGTGGGCAATCTTGTCATGAACTTTTGAAAACACATCAAATGTACAATCAAAACCTACATATTACAAATGACTATTGAGAGTACAAATGCCTCAAAGTTAAGTAAAAATTGAAATTATGCTTAAAGTTAATTAAAAATTTGAGTAAATGTTGAAATTTTTTTATTTTTATTTTTGTTTTAGTTGGATATGCTGTTAGAGCATCTCAGATAGTTCGAATTGATGTAATTTGAGTTTAATTAACGTTTGTCACAACACAATTGGTAGGAATCAAAATTTAGTGGTGGGGGGAGAAATAATATAAACTGCTAAAATTACACGGCCAATCAGATGAAGACAACTATGACAAGTGTCACAAATCTTACGTGTCGTCCTTCATTTAATTGGTCGGGTGCACATGTAGCCGATGTAGTGAATTGTTTTTTCAATTCTATATGCCAATGTTTTAAATTTTTAATATTGAAAAAAATTTAATTTTAATTTTAATTTTAATTCTACATAAATGGAAAACATGAAAGTATTTTAGTAAAGTAGATAAATTATATATATCCATACTTAATAGAATAAATAATTTGACTTTTTGCTTCGACACACATTCCTAAAGCCAAAAAAAAAAAAAAAAGAAAGTATTTTAGGTGGTTTTTTGCATTGGCAATGTACCAAAACAAATAATGTTGAATCAAAAACTCAATTTTCTTGTAGTGAGGCTATTGAAGGGTTAGATTTAAAGAGTTTTATCTTACATGTGGAGAGCTTGCTTCCGCGACTCGAATAATTGAAATTCAACTCACAATGAAGTAGTCTTGTATCATTGCGCTAATACCTACTCCCTATACTAAATAAAAAAGAGTAATATTCTCGGGACCTAATTTACTGACTTAATTCACTATGATCTTAGGATTGATTGTGAGACCCATCAAACATTAGAATTTAGTGTTGATTACTCTATAAAAAATAGTAATCTTTTTTCCATATAAATGGTTATTAATCCTTACAGTGACCAAAAAACATTAATGAGACATGCTCTTATGTGATTCACATTATAGCAAATTCATATTGCATTTCTATTGACGAATAAAATTGANAAATGGTTATTAATCCTTACAGTGACCAAAAAACATTAATGAGACATGCTCTTATGTGATTCACATTATAGCAAATTCATATTGCATTTCTATTGACGAATAAAATTGACACCCCCTAGCACTGGTATGTTTGCACATTCTGGGTTGAAAATCCAGAACCATCTTGCTGCACTAGGTAAATTTCGATGAAACTTCAACTAATCAACTATTTGAGGACGTCATTCAATACAAGAAACCTTCGTTTGGAGTATGAACACTTAGTATGAGACCAAGTCAAATGCAATGTCAATTCAAAAACATTGTCCTCCCTATATTATAAATTGGTTCATTCATAACGAACGGTATGAAGAAGACTTGACTGTCATTTTTATCCCAACAATGACTTCTCAACTTACTGCCATTAACAAAGCTTCAAAAACATCTTCTTCATTTTTTCTAATACTCATCCCCTTCCTTATTTTCTGCCATGGATCAATTACAGAAGCTAAAGTTTCCATGAAGATTGGAGCAATCATAAATGTCGATTCTCGCGTTGGCAAAGAACAAACGACAGCCATACAGATAGCAGTTGAGAACTTCAATAACAATTCGAAGAATCACAACCTGACCATTCATTTTAGGAACACCAGTGGAGACCCCCTCCAGGCAGTTTATGCAGGTTATACATTTTTTCTCCTTGCCAAAAAACTAATATAGACATGTAGCGTTGTGTTTCTATGTCGTGCAAGTTAAATTCATTCAACATATACTCAACTCGTGAATAGTTGGGTTGATGTCATGTATGAATTGTGTTTAGTCTGTGTTGTGTTTAGGGTCATAAACGACTATCTGGCTGATATTCTTGACTGATATATGAAGTTTCTAAATTGTGATCTAGCTGATGAGCTGATCAAAGGAGAACAAGTTCAAATAATTATCGGCACACAGACATGGGAGGAAACAGCTTTAGTTGCAGATGTTGGAAAGAAAGCTCAAGTTCCAGTTCTTTCATTTGCATCAGCAGCAAGTACACCACCATTAAAGCAGCTGCGATGGCCTTTCTTGGTTGAAATGGCTACGAAAAGCTCGGAACAATTAAACTGCGTTGCAGCGATTGTTCAATCCTACAATTGGCAAAGGGTCATAGTCATCTATGAAGACGACACATACAGTGGTGATTCAGGAATGTTGGCTCTATTATCCGAGACACTTCAAGGTGTCGGTTCAGAAATCGAGTATCGGTTAGTCCTTCCACCATTCCCTTCTCTATCCGACCCAAAAGTGGTTGTCTATGAAGAGCTGACACAGTTATTGAGAAAACAGTCGCGGGTTTTTATTGTTCTTCAATCATCACTGTCCTTGGCTACTCATCTGTTCACAGAAGCTAAGAGGATGGGATTGATGGGGCGAGATTCAGTGTGGATTACAACAGACTCTCTTTCGAGCCTCTTTGATTCTGTTGAGCCATCTGTTGTCTCCTCTATGCAAGGTACTCTTGGAATCAAGACCTATTACCAAGAAGACACCAAGTCTTTCCTAAATTTCAGAGGTCAGTTTCGAAGAATTTTCAGGTCGGAGTACCCCGAGGAAGATAATTTGGAGCCGGGAATTCAAGCTCTACGAGCATATGATAGCATCAACACCATTGCTCAGGCTATAAACAAATCAGGCAACAACAGTACTACTAGTACTTCAAAAGGGTTGCTAGAAACAATTCTATCAAACAAATTCACTGGTTTAAGTGGTGATATTAGTTTCAATGGAGGAGAGCTATCAAACTCTCCCGTATTTAGAATCATAAACATTGTTGGGAAGAAATACAAAGAACTTGGCCTTTGGTCCTCAAAATCTGGCTTCTCAGATAGTTTTAGCAGTGAAATTATTGGTAGTGACAGCATGAAAGATTTGAAGGCGTTGGTGAATTGGCCAGGGGACTTAAATCGACACCCGAAAGGATGGGCAATGCCTACCGATTCAGAGCCTATGAAGATTGGAGTCCCAGGAAGTACAGTTTTTCAGAAGTTTGTGAAGGTGGAATGGAAATTATGGAATGAAAATGCAAATAAAGAGAATTATATTACAGGTTTTTGCATTGAAGTGTTTAGGGAGGTGGTAAAAATTTTGGGGGAAAACTATAGCTTTCCCTATGAGTTTGTGCCCTGCAATGGTAGCTATGACGATCTGCTTGAGAATGTAACCAACAAGGTACTTACTCCATCTTTTCCTCTAGGATCTTCTTCGATATTATTATCAAGCACTTTACACAAACTTCGTTAAATGATACGAGATTTTTAANTTGAGAATGTAACCAACAAGGTACTTACTCCATCTTTTCCTCTCGGATCTTCTACGATATTATTATCAAGCACTTTACACAAACTTCGTTAAATGATACGAGATTTTTAAGTCATCACAATCCTTCCCCTTAGATAGTGTGTTCTCGACTAGGCCCGTAGGAACTTAACACATAGTGTATAATGATGTTCTAAAATTTANAAGTCATCACAATCCTTCCCCTTAGATAGTGTGTTCTCGACTAGGCCCGTAGGAACTTAACACATAGTGTATAATGATGTTCTAAAATTTACGCTTACCCTTTACCTTCACTTTACCGAACGATATAAGATTGAGTTGCAAATTTATACATTGCAATTAATCAAAAAAAAATCATGATAATTTTCTCACAAATTGTAGTCTTGTCACTTTTAGATTAAGCCCTGAAATTTCCTCACCACTTGTCCTTCAAGAACTCTTATCTGCAAGACTTTTCTAAGATATTTGTCTGTAGTTGAATAATTGGACCATAAAAAGAGGGGGTAAGAATAATCAGAGCAATCAGCTTTGACGATGACTTCCCAATCTCTTGTACGGTTGAGTGTTTGAGGTGTTTTTGATATTTTCTTTGTAGAAGTGCTATGTGCATTTATTAAATCATTAATGATTCTAAAATTTGAAGTACTTTGAGGGGGTGAAATAAAAAGTAGTTAAATATCGAATNTATTAAATCATTAATGATTCTAAAATTTGAAGTACTTTGAGGGGGTGAAATAAAAAGTAGTTAAATATCGAATATTTTTTTTTTTCGTTCTATATAGATTTAGATTTTGAGTTATATGTTCATGATTTTGTTAATTATTAGGCCGACAACTAAGTTTGAACGGAGGACATTTGTCTCTCATTCCATATTAAACCATCTTCTTCTCTAAAAAAATCTAACAACACTTCATCTAAAAACTTAAAATATTTTAAGAGTAGAAGATAATTAGACTTTTAAAGGGTCTTGGTGCGAATTTATATAGATATATATATATATATATATAAATATAAATGTCTATTCTTATTGAAAATAAAATTTATTTACGTGTGGAAAAACTTTTGATGATGACTAAAGTCTACAACCTTATCTTTATTGTGTTATCTGTCGACCACTTGTTAGTCACAAATTTGTTTGTTTCTTTTTGTGGCTCATATGAACACAGACTTTCAAATTTGTTTGTTTCTTTTTGTGGCTCATATGAACACAGACTTTTGGTGCTGTTTGTGAAAGATATAAGTAAAGCCGATAATCGAATCGAACTATTTAAGTTTAATTTAGGTTCTATTCGTTTAAACATGTTCAGAAAACGGATTCAACAAGCTCGACTTGAACTTAATAGGCTCGACTCATTTATGTATAAATACTCGGCTCAACTTGGATTTCGCTTGTTCTGGGTTTATTTAGGCTTAACTCGTTTTCTAAACAAGTTAAATTTGAATTTTTTTTTAAATTTATTTAAAAAAACGAATTTGTTTGGGCTTGTTCATTTATCAACCCTAGACATAACCATGCACTAGCCAGCCGATCGAAACTTTTGGAGTCTAGTTTTAAGAAATTGAATCATAAAAGAATTGATATAATTCAAATTCGATTGTTTAATAGATGAATTGACACAAAATATGATGAGAACACGATTATATATAATTATAAATGAGTTGAATATAAGGTCTTCCAATTTTGACATGGTATTAGTTACACAACTAAGTAACACTTTTCTTCTTGTTGTGAATGAATTATGATCACAGACTTTTGGAGCGGTGGTTGGGGACATAACCATACTAGCCAACCGATCGAAATACTTGGAATTCACTCAACCTTTTGCTGAGTCGGGGCTGTCAATGTTGGTGCCGGTGAAGTCCAACATAAATCAAAAGGGGTGGCTTATTGTGGAGCCTTTTACGACTGACATGTGGATAGTGACTTTTGTTGTCTTGTTCTACACAATGCTTGTGGTTTGGTTCATTGAGCATCAATCCAATCCGGAGTTTAGAGGCCCATGGAAAGATCAGCTCGGGACTGCAATGTGGTTCACCTTCTGTTCTCTCTTCTTCGCTCACAGTAAGTACTTTAAATAGTTTTGCGTTAGCAATTTTCTCCATTAAAGTGAATACATGAATATGATAGAAATCGACAAGATTACTGCAAATATGTACAAATATACAACATTATTTGAAATGATATAACGTGAAAATGACACAATTCAAAATAATATTATAGGAGGATGGTGTGGCACGACTTGACTCCACTCATTGACAAACTTAACCAAAGACCATACAAATGTGCAAACGACAAACTTATATCACCCAAGTCAATCCCTTATGCAAAAATAAGTGTTTTTTTTTCTTGGTACTTCAACAAATGTGCTAATGAATCCATTGATTAATTACTAAACAGGAGAGCAGATTTACAGCAACTATTCCAAAATGGTGCTTGTGGTGTGGCTCTTCGTCGTGTTCGTATTGACATCAAGCTATACGGCCAGTCTTACGTCGATGCTCACTGTCCCAATACTTGAGCCCAGTGTGACAAACATAGAGCTGATAAAGAAAACCAATGCAACAGTAGGGTGTGATGAGGATTCATTTGTGAAGGACTATTTGAGGAATGTTCTTGAACTTCAAAACATCAAGACCATTACCAAACAAAGTGATTACCCAGAGGAATTCAGGAGCGGCAACATAAGAGTTTCGTTTCTTGAATTGCCTAATCAGAAGGTTTTCCTCAATGAACACTGCAACCAGTATACAACCAGTGGACCTATCTACAGATTAGGAGGACAGGGCTTTGTAAGTAGTCAGTGTAGCTCTTTATACTCTTTATATACACGTTCAACAAAGCCTTAAACTAAATGAATTTTTGTTTTTTCATTGTGCTCTATCAATAATCATATTTTGTGTTAGACCAAAAGTTATCATACATTTTTTTAATTATTTCATTTAAAGTCATCTTAAATTAACTTGCTTCTATATCTCATATTACCAACTATGTATGTACATATAAGTTTGAGTTAATTATCTATTTAGTCATTGAATTATACTATTTGTGCCAATCAAGTATTTGAACTATTTATTTAAAAAAAAAAAAGAAAGTCTTTGAACTATGTTTTATGTCAATTTAACCTTAGAACTATAATATTTGTGTCAATGTGACTCTTTTGTCTAATTGTTAAATTTGATGGAATTTCTCACGTGCATAGCAAGTGGCCCTTAAACTATATCTTAATCCTCGACTCATGATAAAATGGAAAGAATAATGCTATTTAGACTTAAAATTTGACTTTATTGGCCGATCTGATGACGTGTTTTAATTGGAATTATTGAATCTCGAATAAGTTTTTAATGTTTGATGAGACTCACAATTAATTCAAAGGTTAGCAAATAATATCACATATTTTCCAAATAGTATTAGTCAAACTGAAATGGGATTAAACAAGTGAAGTAATCTATAATTTCTACTACAATATATATAGAAAAACTAATTGTTCTTCATGCTCTCCATGCAGGCATTCCAAAAAGGCTCTCCTATAGCAGCAGATGTCTCTGAAGCAATTCTAACCCTATCAGAGAATGGAAGACTCCAAGAATTGGAAAAGTTCTGGCTGGGTTCCTCTGTAAATTGTTCAAACTCTGATGAAACCACCGAAACTGAGAGTTTGGGCCTTGAGAGCTTCTGGGTTTTGTTCCTCATTTCTGTTGTCACTTCCACCATTTGCTTTCTTCTTTTCCTTCTCCTTCATTGGAGGAGTCATCGTCATCGCCATGGGGCGTCTGGAGGCAACGTAACTACGAGTGGTAACACTGTTTGGGACAAGACTGTTAGACTGGCTCGGAGCTTTCACACTGGACGGCCGAGTTTGCTTAGGGGAGAGCCAAATGTGTATGAATGGGGCTCTTCAAGGTGGGAGTTAGTGAGTCCTTCGGACATTTCACAAGGTTTTGAAGCCTCTAAACCAGCTGAAATTGAAATTCCCGTTAGGACTTGATTGTTGTTTTAACAATGTGTAGTGGAAAAGAGTAGGTAAATTTAAAAGAATCAAGTGTTCATTTGTGTTAGAATTTAGGCATAGCTTTCTCGACCTTTTGGTAAGATCCAATCATATTTGGTTTTTTCTCGAATGAGAGATGAGATTTCTTTGTCAATTCACATGTGTATTTCTAACATTCCCCCTCACATTGAGCAATACATTTATATTGGATGTTCTAGGTGAAGCACTTGTTAAATTTTTTTTTACTAATGGTCAGAGTTATCTGCATTAAGTTACGTGCACTTTGACAAATTTATTTTTTGGTTTGCTTAAAGGTGGACCATTTATGTCTGAATTAGAATATTCATGAAGTTCGATCCCAAAGGTTACCATGATTCGAATTCAGAATGTTTGATTTTATAATTCGTTCTTATTGCTATTTAAGCTATCCTTAAAGTTAGCGTTTGTTAAATTCGCTAGTCTGTGTCTTGAAGTCAAACTTTTTAGCTTTTTTATACTTTTTTGGGACAAGTCTTTATATGAGAATGAAACCGAACCTGAAATATAAGCTCAAGCTGGCCAGAGTAATTTATTTTAGTTTTTTTTTGGGTATAAATCCTTATTTCTTGTTTTTTTTTTGGGTTAACCTCGTCAATGCAAAGGACGATTTTATTTATTATTGAAAAAATAAATAAATAAATAAAGGCAAAGACATAGAGTCTAACTCCTTTATTTAGCAAAATTACCATATTTATATTACATTTTTTTTAAGTATAAGTCAAAATCAAGATACATACAATCATAATATTACATCTTGAATCTGAGTGGATTGGGGAGCGCGACAACCACCACACACCCCTAAGGTTAGTCCTATAGGATATTTAGGTTGTCAATGCGAACATAATTCTCAATATCCACAAACCAAGGCAAAACAGTCAAACGCAAGTGATGGAAATTATTTACTAAAAGTATTGTTAATCCCATGCCACTAAGCATGTACATATATAGATTTGGCAGATTTTTTTTTACTACAAAATGTGTGCAATATATTTACATGTTGATGTGTAACCTCGTAACCATAAGGCTTTAAAAGAAATAAGATATGGGCTGGGCGCCGCGTTGAGCTTTTCTACAAAGTATTAGCCCAAATCGTGACTAGGATTCGGGGCATACTTAGAGGTGTCAAAATATAACGTCACACAAAATTAAAGGGTTTGAGTATTCTTTATGCCACCCGTTCAATAAACTAGTGACTCCACCTGATTTAATTAATAAATGAATCGGATATAAGTGAAGTCAATTAAAAGAAATACATGATACGACTCTTTTATATACGGTTCGTACACCATATGCACCCGATATGACACGACTCGTTAGATACAAATTAATAAACGAAACGGGAATGAGTTCANCTCTTTTATATACGGTTCGTACACCATATGCACCCGATATGACACGACTCGTTAGATACAAATTAATAAACGAAACGGGAATGAGTTCAGTACTTTTTTACACAAATTCACTTCACCTGACACAATTAACGGTCATAACCATACCCTCAACTCTGCAATCCAACTAAGCATCAATGTGCTTGCGTACCATAACTTCTCATAAAATATTCTTGGGAGGAGGAGGTTAATTCATTCACAACAAATGTTGCACTCCAAGTTTGTACTTGGAATTAGCTGTTTGAATAAAAAAACAACCCAACTTCTTTTTCACCTGGTTTGACCACTAGTTTAAATAAATAGAGTTTTTTTTAACTTAGATCAACCTTATTTTCGTATTCAAACATTGCACTCACATGAAAAATAATAATATTATTGAATATCTGAAGTCATATATAAAAGTTAAAATTAGTTCATTCAATGAGCATCATTTCTTTCATTGAAATTGGACGAAATAGAATATCTTGTATAAAGAAGAATAGCTGATCTAACTTTCAAGCGTCAAGATAGATTACAGGGACTGATGAAATTCATAAGAGATTCTCATTTTTAAAAATTTGTACTTTTTTTTTCTCAATTATTTGGAATCGGCCACATAAAATAGAAATTTCTATGAAGTCATTTTACTGAGTAACTCCCATGATGTGGGACTTTGAGATAATTGCTTCAAATTGTATACTAAAATGGCTACATCAAGAAATTGCATGGAAAGNCATGATGTGGGACTTTGAGATAATTGCTTCAAATTGTATACTAAAATGGCTACATCAAGAAATTGCATGGAAAGAGTCTTTTGGAAACTACTTACATGGTTTTTGTGGAAATGAAGGATTGGAGTAAGGAGTGGATACATGAACTTGGCTAGGAACAAGATAACGAGAAGTGGGTTTGATTACGGTGAGCTCACTTTTTCCATCCTTTCCTCTCACGATGAAAAGATTTGCTCAAGAAATTTATCTTACTCTAATATGTTTANTGGATACATGAACTTGGCTAGGAACAAGATAACGAGAAGTGGGTTTGATTACGGTGAGCTCACTTTTTCCATCCTTTCCTCTCACGATGAAAAGATTTGCTCAAGAAATTTATCTTACTCTAATATGTTTATGCAAGACTCCATGCAAATCCGCCATGGTGTTAAATTCTTTTTATTGAGACTATGCCTTCAATTTTTTTGGTTGGTCTTTTGGTTGAATGGAAACACTAGTCAACCAAGTCTTTTATTTTTGGGTTGTGATAAAGGAGTTATAAAAAAGCAATTTTTGTACCACCATCAAGTAAACTTACTAATTAATGGGTAATCAGGACATTTGAAATTAAGAATGTTTGAAATTGAAATGATGTAAATTTGACTTATGGATAATAATATCATAGCGAAATAAGTATTTTTCTATAAAAAAACGATCGCACAAGATCACATAAGATCACATGAATGAGATTCGATTGGGGCTTGCAAAAAATGTCACAACTATCANTATGTTTTATGTCAATTTAACCTTAGAACTATAATATTTGTGTCAATGTGACTCTTCTGTCTAATTGTTAAATTTGATGGAATTTCTCACGTGCATAGCAGTGGCCCTTAAACTATATCTTAATCCTCGACTCATGATAAAATGGAAAGAATAATGCTATTTAGACTTAAAATTTGGCCTTATTGGCCGATCTGATGACGTGTTTTAATTGGAATTATTGAATCTCGGATAAGTTTTTAATGTTTGATGAGACTCACAATTAATTCAAAGGTTAGCAAATAATATCACATATTTTCCAAATAGTATTAGTCAAACTGAAATGGGATTAAACAAGTGAAGTAATCTATAATTTCTACTACAATATATATTGAAAAACTAATTGTTCTTCATGCTCTCCATGCAGGCATTCCAAAAAGGCTCTCCTATAGCAGCAGATGTCTCTGAAGCAATTCTAACCCTATCAGAGAATGGAAGACNCTTATTGGCCGATCTGATGACGTGTTTTAATTGGAATTATTGAATCTCGGATAAGTTTTTAATGTTTGATGAGACTCACAATTAATTCAAAGGTTAGCAAATAATATCACATATTTTCCAAATAGTATTAGTCAAACTGAAATGGGATTAAACAAGTGAAGTAATCTATAATTTCTACTACAATATATATAGAAAAACTAATTGTTCTTCATGCTCTCCATGCAGGCATTCCAAAAAGGCTCTCCTATAGCAGCAGATGTCTCTGAAGCAATTCTAACCCTATCAGAGAATGGAAGACTCCAAGAATTGGAAAAGTTCTGGCTGGGTTCCTCTGTAAATTGTTCAAACTCTGATGAAACCACCGAAACTGAGAGTTTGGGCCTTGAGAGCTTCTGGGTTTTGTTCCTCATTTCTGTTGTCACTTCCACCATTTGCTTTCTTCTTTTCCTTCTCCTTCATTGGAGGAGTCATCGTCATCGCCATGGGGCGTCTGGAGGCAACGTAACTACGAGTGGTAACACTGTTTGGGACAAGACTGTTAGACTGGCTCGGAGCTTTCACACTGGACGGCCGAGTTTGCTCAGGGGAGAGCCAAATGTGTATGAATGGGGCTCTTCAAGGTGGGAGTTAGTGAGTCCTTCGGACATTTCACAAGGTTTTGAAGCCTCTAAACCAGCTGAAATTGAAATTCCCGTTAGGACTTGATTGTTGTTTTAACAATGTGTAGTGGAAAAGAGTAGGTAAATTTAAAAGAATCAAGTGTTCATTTGTGTTAGAATTTAGGCATAGCTTTCTCGACCTTTTGGTAAGATCCAATCATATTTGGTTTTTTCTCGAATGAGAGATGAGATTTCTTTGTCAATTCACATGTGTATTTCTAACATTCCCCCTCACATTGAGCAATACATTTATATTGGATGTTCTAGGTGAAGCACTTGTTAAATTTTTTTTTACTAATGGTCAGAGTTATCTGGATTAAGTTATGTGCACTTTGACAAATTTATTTTTTGGTTTGCTTAAAGGTGGACCATCTATGTCGGAACTAGAATATTCATGAAGTTCGACCCCAAAAGTTACCATGGTTTGAATTCAGAATGTCTGATTTTATAATTCATTCTTATTGCTATTTAAGCTATCCTTAAAGTTAGCACTTGTTAAATTCGCTAGTATGTGTCTTGAAGTCAAACTTTTTAGCTTTTTTATACTTTTTTGGGACAAGTCTTTATATGAGAATGAAACCGAACCTGAAATATAAGCTCAAGCCGGCCAGAGTAATTTATTTTAGTTTTTTTTTGGGTATAAATCCTTATTTCTTGTTTTTTTTTTTGGGTTAATCTCGTCAATGCGAAGGACGATTTTATTTATTATTGAAAAAATAAATAAATAAATAAAGGCAAAGACATAGAGTCTAACTCCTTTATTTAGCAAAATTACCATATTTATATTACATTTTTTTTAAGTATAAGTCAAAATCAAGATACATACAATCATAATATTACATCTTGAATCTGAGTGGATTGGGGAGCGCGACAACCACCACACACCCCTAAGGTTAGTCCTATAGGATATTTAGGTTGTCAATGCGAACATAATTCTCAATATCCACAAACCAAGGCAAAACAGTCAAACGCAAGTGATGGAAATTATTTACTAAAAGTATTGTTAATCCCATGCCACTAAGCATGTACATATATAGATTTGGCAGATTTTTTTTTACTACAAAATGTGTGCAATATATTTACATGTTGATGTGTAACCTCGTAACCATAAGGCTTTAAAAGAAATAAGATATGGGCTGGGCGCCGCGTTGAGCTTTTCTACAAAGTATTAGCCCAAATCGTGACTAGGATTCGGGGCATACTTAGAGGTGTCAAAATATAACGTCACACAAAATTAAAGGGTTTGAGTATTCTTTATGCCACCCGTTCAATAAACTAGTGACTCCACCTGATTTAATTAATAAATGAATCGGATATAAGTGAAGTCAATTAAAAGAAATACATGATACGACTCTTTTATATACGGTTCGTACACCATATGCACCCGATATGACACGACTCGTTAGATACAAATTAATAAACGAAACGGGAATGAGTTCAGTACTTTTTTACACAAATTCACTTCACCTGACACAATTAACGGTCATAACCATACCCTCAACTCTGCAATCCAACTAAGCATCAATGTGCTTGCGTACCATAACTTCTCATAAAATATTCTTGGGAGGAGGAGGTTAATTCATTCACAACAAATGTTGCACTCCAAGTTTGTACTTGGAATTAGCTGTTTGAATAAAAAAACAACCCAACTTCTTTTTCACCTGGTTTGACCACTAGTTTAAATAAATAGAGTTTTTTTTAACTTAGATCAACCTTATTTTCGTATTCAAACATTGCACTCACATGAAAAATAATAATATTATTGAATATCTGAAATCATATATAAAAGTTAAAATTAGTTCATTCAATGAGCATCATTTCTTTCATTGAAATTGGACGAAATAGAATATCTTGTATAAAGAAGAATAGCTGATCTAACTTTCAAGCGTCAAGATAGATTACAGGGACTGATGAAATTCATAAGAGATTCTCATTTTTAAAAATTTGTACTTTGTTTTTCTCAATTATTTGGAATCGGCCACGTAAAATAGAAATTTCTATGAAGTCATTTTACTGAGTAACTCCCATGATGTGGGACTTTGAGATAATTGCTTCAAATTGTATACTAAAATGGCTACATCAAGAAATTGCATGGAAAGCGTCTTTTGGAAACTACTTACATGGTCTTTGTGGAAATGAAGGATTGGAGAAGGAGTGGGTACATGAACTTGACTAGGAACAAGATAACGAGAAGTGGGTTTGCTTACAGTGAGCTCACTTTTTCCATCCTTTCCTCTCACGATGAAAAGATTTGCTCAAGAAATTTATCTTACTCTAATATGTTTCTGCAAGACTCCATGCAAATCCGCCATGGTGTTAAATTCTTTTTATTGAGACTATGCCTTCAATTTTTTTGGTTGGTCTTTTGGTTGAATGGAAACACTAGTCAACCAAGTCTTTTATTTTTGGGTTGTGATAAAGGAGTTATAAAAAAGCAATTTTTGTACCACCATCAAGTAAACTTACTAATTAATGGGTAATCAGGACATTTGAAATTAAGAATGTTTGAAATTGAAATGATATAAATTTGACTTGTGGATAATAATATCATAGCGAAATAAGTATTTTTCTATAAAAAAACGATCGCACAAGATCGCGTAAGATCACATGAATGAGATTCGATTGGGGCTTGCAAAAAATGTCACAACTATCACTGAAACCTTCTCAATCTAGACATAAAAAAAAACATCATTCATAATATTTGTCCAAGTCAACAATGTCCTTACAAAATAACAATAAAAGGACTAAAACATGTCCTACTTCAAAATCCTTCTCAGTTTTCAAAGAGCCCTTCATATTTGTCCAAGTCAACAATTTCGTGTAGCAAGAAAAACATTCGCAATCCTCAAAAGTCATGATTTAATGGTTTTATTTTATTTTTTGTCTGCCAATGGTTTTTGATGGTATGAAAAACAGAGTATGAGAGGGTCCCGAGTATCAAATGATTGAGTAAAATATTCTAGTAGACAATCCTAGAACAAGTAAAGCAGACAAAAGTATGATTGGTTCATCAAAATAGTCAGTCTAATTCACTGTCAATCAAGTCTCTTGCTTTTACTTGTATTCTCAAAACTGGTGGAGAAGAAGATGACCACTTAGGCACTTACAGAAGGTTGGATTCCTTTCTCATAGGGCATCATCCTCTTCTATTTATTTCTAGGTAATCTTTTGTCCCTATTCAAGATTGGTGCGATCTCTCCACGACATCCGTTGGAATCATTTCAAAATATTTGGTTATTAGAGACAATCACGTATCTATAGAACACATGGTCTTTTAAAAGTGGGGCAGTGACATTTTTGAGGCAGTGACTTACTGTCCAATATAGGATGAACTTACTAAACTCTTCTCCTTCTTATGGTTACTGTTGGAAATAATTGTTTTAAATAAATATTTTGATATTTATTTGTTTAAACTATTAAATATCGAATGAGAAATTTTATAATATTTTTGTGACTTTTGGAAGAAATTGGAAAGATGTGAAGAAAAGATGACATGAAGGGTTACTAATTCAAAATTTGTGACTTTTAGTTAAAGACATTATTACAAATAGACACAATTTTTCATAAAAATCAACATTGATATCTCTTGAACTAAAAAACATAGTTTCAAATGGTTATACTTTTTCATAAAATCACAATTGATACTTTTTTGATTAAAAGACACCATTACAAATGATTGAACTATAGGTGATGTAGGTGATGTTTATAAATAGGTGACGTATTGCACTCCTAAATCACATTATTAAACAATTCTAAAATTGCTTTCTCATTCTACCTCTCTCAATTGTCCCAAATTTTGAATTAAGTATTCAATTTTACTTCTCTCTCTGCATATTACTGCATTAGTTTTTTCAAGTTTGGTTCAATTATAAACACAGAATTGTGTTGGTTGGAATTTTGAAGATTGAAGTGCTGTATATTTAAGAACAAAATGTGTTTTATCTTGAGAGATAGTTGCTTATCAACATTTAATATCGAGATGAAGCAAATCTGTCTTAAAAAAACTGTGATTATACAAAACTTTAATTATTATTATTATTATTATTTTTAAATATTTGGATTTTTATTGCTCGTGCAGTTCTGCGTCAGTATAAGTACACTATTTCAGTTTTTGTTTAATATTATGTTATAATTTAAATTAATTCACACAAAACTGTATACTTAGTGGTTTAGAATTTAAAACAATAATTAGTGATTAATACTAATTATATACATACATTGGATAACAACTGAATTCGAGCTGACGTGATTGCGGGTGAGCTGCTTAGATACTACTTGGTGAGTTGGGAATCGGCTTCTTACGACGGATGACTTGGGCTAGGTCAGTTTAGTCTTTCGCAACTCAAAAATATGGAACAGCAAGGAGAAGGGTTGCCCTCAGAAGTGTCAATCGTGTCGGGTTAAATGGGTGACGGGTGAAAAATATATAAATTGGTACACAACACGTTTAATAAACGGGTAAAAAATTTCGACATGAACACGACCCGTTTAATAAACGGGTAACACGACACAACTCGTTTAGCCCGTTTAATTTTAAAAAAAATATATTAACAAATTTTAATATTCTATTTTTTTTTATTGTCAATTGCACTTACCTTTAAAAAAGAAGATTTTTTAGCCAAATTTTATAAAAATAAGACTTGAAGGCTTAAAAAAAAAAGTAAGAGCCTATTATTTTTATAGGCAACTCAACCCTCCCTATCTCCCCTCATTTTTCAATGTAAGATAAATAAGACTTGAAGTCTTGCAGTGTTCTCTTGTCAAAAAAAAAAAAGGTTTAGCTGAGATGCATTTTATGCAGGAGCATAAATTTTATCCGTTACCACGAACCCGACACAAACTTGAACGGACATAAAATTTGAAAATAACACGATTAATGAGTATTGTAGATAAAAATTAATTATTTAACGAGTATTATAGGCAAAAAATAAAAATTTTATAATTTTTTAAATAAAATTATATGAGGTGTTATCAAATTAAATAATTTTTTATTAATACAAATATTAACACAAATTCAACACGACACAAAAATAATACGATTAAAAATGACATGACATAAAAATAACACAATAACACGATACGAGACCACACGACATCATTTCATATTTAAATTTCTTGGTATCAGAAAAGTGGCCTCACCAAGTACTGTTCGTTTGTGCCTTTCATGGACCACATAAGTCACAAAATCCAACTTATTTAAAAGGGTGCAAGGCTAAGGTAGGTATTTGTTATGGTGCTGAAAAATAACTTCGACTATTAATTTAAATTAGATGGCCTATAATTATTAATAAAAAAATAATAAAAAATAAAATTGCACATATAACATATTTTTATTGACCAAAAAATAAAAATATAATATTAAAAAATATTTTTCGATATTGTAACATTTTAGGAGGACTTCTTTAAAAGACGGCCCGCTTATTTAAAAGGGTGGGCCAACTGACCCTCCAAAAGTCTTTCTTGTACAGCTCGTCTGTCGATCACAAGAAATTTATCTCCGATATATTACAAAAATGGCTTTCGAATAGGATCGCATTAGACCCACGGATACGCCTATTTATAAAGAATAAAGTGTGGATATCAACGGTCATCTGCCAATCACTCATGTGGGTTAAACTTGGAGATATTAATACGAGTCAAATCCAAAATTTCTTAATTTATTATGGTCTCAAAAGACGATGGACTTCGAACGAGTGAACTGATTTTATATTTTCAGATATAAGTTAAGAGTAAATCGTATTTATTTACTCGTTATTAAAAGTTGAGTTGCACCAATTGCTTAACATTATAATCTTTCATAATAAAATTATAATCCTAAAAAATTAACAAAAAGTAGAAGTACTAATTCAAAATCCTCCTCATTTTTCCAAGGTCCATTCTTATTGATCCAAGTCAATAATGTCAAACAATATGACGAATCCTTCTTATTGGTCCAAGTCAACAATGTCAAGCAATGTAAAAATCAACTTTTGTAGTGTGGTGGGGTTGGGTTTTTTTGGAGGGGAGGGAGCGGGGGGGTTGGCAACCAAACCTACCAAAGACTTTCTTATACGACTCTTCTGTTAATCATAAGAAATGCATCTCCTGATATATTAAACTCATCTATATACAAAGTAAACGTGAGATAATAACAATCGTTGATTAAATTCGAGAGTCAATACAGATCAAACTCAAAATATTTAAATTATTTTTGTCCCAAAATTACGCCCCACGACGTGAACTATTCAAAAAATTATAGCTTTGACATTGTATTTTTGAGTACAATACTTCCTTCATTAAAATAGTGGTCCTCTATCTCAATTTGCAAAGTCTCCCGATGATTGTATCAGAACATGGCGTGTTCGGTTGTCACCCAACCTAAATTTCTACAGTTATAAAAGGATTGCCACACAAGCTCAGCCATCCAGTTTACATTGACCACAGAGAAGCCTCATGTCCTCTGATACTTATGGTTCACATCAAAATCGCTTATGTTAAAATTTACTCAATTCATACATTACTCATTTATAATCGTTATAAGTTTGGGCAATGTATAAGACGTGATTAGTGAGTCCATACAGTATTCATTTGTGTTTTTATTGAACCTTTTTATTCACATGTGTAATGAGTTTATCTGTTATCCTTGACCCACTAGAATATACCAACGTTATGAAATTTACACAAAATTCTCAAATCTGTGAGGAACAGAAATAGAGAAGATACACGCTAAATAAAAACAATCACACAAACAAGATAGTATTTACATAGTTCAACAATTTGTCTACGTCCACAAAGTTGTAAGGATTTTACTATTGAGAAAAAGAAATATAGAGGGTGGCAGTACAGTACCAATTAAACCCTAATCAGAAAAATAACAGTTTTTATATGTCCTGCATATCGGCTACAAAACAAAGCCAAAAAATTTTCCGCGGGACAACGCTAATCGGCCCAAGCCTTCGCTTCATGGACTAAGCCTAAAAAATTTCTCATTAAAAAACCATACAACATTATTTTGGGTCGAACCATCGTCCGAATCAACACAAACCAACTCCACAAAAAACCCAACAACCAAAACCTGCTACTTCTCGTACCTAGAGCTAGGCCTACTCTAATACAATACCTTGTGTCCATGACCAGATCAGTTACTTGACATTTCTCCTTTGCAATTTCCAAGCAAATTCACGCACTGCCATGTGTACATATGCTATTCACATTCTCATAAATCAAGTTCTAAGCTCTATGCATTAAGTCTAGCAACTACCAGGCTATAACCAGAATGGCTTTCCCACTCATGTCTGTGTATACTGCTTCTAAGCCAACTATTTTCTTCCCAACTGCACTCATTTCTTTTCTTCTCCTTTACAATGGAATCTTCGCATCTGCACAGATCGAAACCACCAGCATTGGAGCAATCATCGACCATAATACTCGTATCGGAAAAGAAGTGCACGCAGCCATAAAAGTGGCTGCTCAAAACTTCAACAGCTCCTCTGTGTACCACAGAGTATCTCTTCATTTTCGCAACCCCGGTGGAAATCCCCTCCAAGCCGCTTATGCAGGTGATTTATACTTATTGGCTTTTCCTGATTCTTGTGTTTTCTAACACACACACACACAAAAGCATGTACACAATATGGTTGGTTGATTCTTGTGGAAATTGGGATTTAAGAATTAATAAATTATATTGAATAACAAAATGTCAAAGGGACAATCAAGAACTACTAAGCTAAGAAGGCCAAGTTTGAGATTCCAACTCCAGTTGGCACCATTCTTTTTGTTTGGTGGGGACTTTTACATGTCCTTCAAGCTTTCGACAGTCTAACTTCTTATCAGTCAGCTGTAGAAGAAAATGGAAGTGTAGGATAAATTATGTATGGGTAAATTACACTTATAGTCCTTGAACTATCACATTTTTTTCACTTTGCCCCCTCAACTACCAGATTTCTCACATTATACTCTCAATATCATTAGTTTCACATTGCTCCACTTATTAATGTTCGTGACATATTTAACAGAAAGTTATTTCATTTTACCCCTGAAACTATGTAATTTTTTTCACTTTATTCTGGCACGTCAACGATTTCTGTCTGAAAAAAATAACAGATGTTTACGAATGGGGCAATGTGAAAGTGTTAGTTGATGGTACAATATGAGAAATTTGATAGTTGAGGGAAACAGAAAAAAATGGTGATAATTCAAAGAATGTAAGTGTAATTTACCCATTATTTTTTGACCATCTCATCTATGTTATCTATCTTATATTCTCCCCTCAAATGTCACTTTTCACATATTTCATATTTACTTATGGTTATTTGGTTTCTCAACCCCGACATTTTTCACATTGAGTATCCAACTATTGTTATTGGTTTCACGCTACCCTAATTGTAGACATTAAAAACATGCAATTTACTACATATTGGAACAGTTGCCCTCCAAAACATGTTGGGTGTTTAACTTTGGGATGCTATGAAACTAATACAAGCATTTGAGAGGGCAATGCAAAAAACTTGGAGTTGAGGGGATAAAGCGAGACTGGATTCATAGTTGAAGGAATCAAAGTATAATTTATATATAATTTCTTCTGATGATGTATCTTTTCAGTAACAATAAAATTAAGCAATCCAAAAGTTGGTGATCTTTCCGGGCAATTAATTAGCCTTTTCGTACTACTACGAAATCTTCTAACATTAAGAAATTTGTATTACCTTTGAATAGCATTATTTGGATTACCATTGACCTTTTTTTTTTTAAAACAGCTGAAGAACTTATTAAGGAGAATAATGTGCAAGCCATTATAGGCATGGAGACATGGGAGGAAGCAGCATTAGTCGCTGACGTTGGAAACCGAGCTCAGGTACCCATTGTCTCCTTTGCATCAGTCATCGTCCCACAGCCACTAACGCCGCCCCGGTGGCCTTTCTTGGTACAAATGGCTACCAATGTTGCTGAACAAATTAGATGCATAACAGAAATTGTTTGCTCATTCAACTGGCGAAAAGTCATAACAATCTATGAGGCTGACTACTATGGAACCGATTCGGGAATGTTTGCTGCATTATCTGATTCACTCCATGATTATGGAGTAGAAATTGAATATCGTCTGGTTCTTCCACCATTTTCCTCTCTATCTGATCCAAAAAGCTTTGTTAGTGAAAATGTAGCTGAGCTATTAAGTAAACAATCCAGGGTTTTTGTTGTTCTTCAAATATCTTCATCAATGGCTGCTCATTTGTTTAGACAAGCAAAGCAGATGAGGCTTATTGGGAGAGATTCAGCATGGATAATTACAGACCCGTTTGCGAGCCTCTTGGATTCTGTTAATACTTCTGTTATATCCTCCATGGAAGGTGCTTTAGGAATCAAGACATATTTTGTTGAAGATAGTAGGTCTTTTCTGGACTTCAGGCAACAGTTTTGGCGAGTTTTCCGATCAGATTACCCTGAGGAAGACAACTTCGAGATGGGAATTCATGCCCTACGAGCATATGATAGCCTTACTACCATTGCAAATGCCATAAACCGAACAGGTAATGATGGGGCTGGAATTGAAATTTAGAATTTAAAAACAGAAAATTACACTTAGACCTCTTCTATGCTCCTAGTTTCACACTATCCCTAAACCTTACACTTTTTCACGTTGCCTATTCAATTATTGTTCAAGATTCACATCTGCCCAATCGTTAACTTTTCTGCATTTTTTCATGACAAATCAGAGCGAAAAAGGAATTCCTCCGAGCTATAGAGAGAAAGCCAACATCTAACAACGTGGAATTCTATTTGATTTGTTGTGAAAATTTGGATAGAAGTTAACTATTGAAGCAGTATGACATTAAAACCATTAGTTTAAGGTGCAATGTGAGAAATTGGATAGTCTAGAGGTAAAATGAAATGAGGGGTATAGTTGACGGCTCTAACTGTAATTTTTCCATTGAGAAATTGACATTTTTTTTATTATTTTGAATTTATTTCTTAATTTCTGATTTTTCACTTATTTTGGAGCAGAGATATATTATACATATTTGATTTTCGGATTTTGGTGTTTACCTATATTAAGGTAATAAAAATTTTTGGGTAGACTTTGATTGATTGAATTGTGGAATATTGATTCTTCTTGTCAATTCTCTCACTCTTCTCTAAATTCTTATTAATATTTTTTAATTTCTTATCAATTTTCTTATTCTCTCCCAATTCCTTCTTCCTGGTCTACATCAGGTAGTAGCAGTAATGGTTCAACTACACTACTGAAAAGTATTTTATCAAGCAACTTCACTAGTTTAAGTGGTGATATTAGTTTTCATAGAGGAGAGGTAGCAGGGTCCTCTCTATATAGAATTGTAAATGTTGTTGGAAAAAGATACAAAGAACTCGGCTTTTGGTCATCGGCGATAGGATTTTCAAAGAGCCTTGTTAATAAAGAAAGTGACCAAAAAACAAGGGGTGATTCCATGGACACTTTGGCCAGTTTGGTGAGTTGGCCCGGGGACATAAAACGAACTCCACGAGGATGGTCGATGCCTAGTGATGCAAAGCCTATGAAGATCGGAGTTCCGGGAAAAACTACTTTCCAAAAATTTGTGAAGGTGGATTGGAATTCAAGTTTGAATGAATGGAGTTTTTCTGGTTTCTGCATTGATGTCTTCTATGAGGTGCTGAAAATTTTGGAGCAAAGTTATCCCCTACCTCATGAATTTGTACCATACAATGGCACCTACAATGCCCTAGTTGATCATGTGGCTAACCAGGTATGTATAATAACTCTATACTTATCATCATTCCTTGTAGTCTTCCTACATATCATTAATTATCCTATGCACAACTAAAGCATATTAGTGTAATAATAGTTACGGCTCATGCAATGTACAAAATTTGCATTTCTCTCACCTTACAACCTCTATCCTCAATCCCACTCCCACTCCCGTTATGATATTGTTAAAATCTTAGTTGATTTAATTTTGGGAAAGGATTACATAATAGCATATAGTTGGCATGGTATATTTGAATGTCTAGGTGTTGAAAGTTAGTTGGCATAATAGCATATAGTTGGGAATTATATATATACCACCATAAATATTCACATGATACAATTGTAAACGTTAATTATGAGTCAGTGCATTACTGATGATATACAGTCGCGCTATTTATACTTTGCTTTTGCAGCATAGTCCTTCTCTTTTTTGTTGGTCATCAAATTTTTCCATAAAAATACTTTCTTATGTAAGAACCCACTCATCTATGTGAACAAATATCCCCCATTTGGTTATTAAATGTTTAATGTGATGCTGTTATACTTTTTGAATACAATAATTAAATATCTATATAATAAAGTACAATATAATTTAAATCTCAAAAGATAAATAAAATGATTTTAATTTTTCGCGGTTGAAATCTCTTTAAATTTTACTTTAAAGTTAATCTGACGGCTAATATTAACACTTCAAATTTAATAAAAAAAATAGGTCCCTAAGAGTGTATTTGGGATAACTTTTTTAAAGTGTTTTTAGAAATTATAGCATCTTATAAGTACTTTTTTTTTTTTAAAAAAAATAGTGTTTGGAACCGCTACACTACCACCACTACCACCATCACCCCTACCGCCCCACTACCACCACCACAATTACCCTCCACCATCACCCCCACCCCCATCCCTATGTTGGGAAAATAGGCTTTCCCACAAGTGTAAATCAATGGAAGCAATATAAATAAAATAACAGAAAATAAATAAGCACACAAGATTTACGTGGTTCCCTCAAATAACTTGAGGTACATCCACGACGATCGGTAGGTCAGTTTCTTCCACTATCACCAAATCAGATTATAAAGTGGCCAAAAGGCATAAGCCTTACAAACACACCAAGGTGTAAATCACAAGAGGAAAATACCTCACAAAATAAGTGAACCAAATCTCCAAGAACAAACCGCAAGAAACCCAAATATCAAGTGAAGAAATGTTACCCACTTGAAGAACAAATTTGCAGATTTTTCTGGCACCAAAAAGGAGAAGAAGAAGGCTGAATTTTTGTTGAACCAAAGACTGCCGAAAATATGTCTTCTTGCCAAACCAACAGAGAAAAGATGAACCAAAGAAAAGGACAAAACTTATAGTCTTTGGTGGCTGCCAAATTCCTTTTAACTTGAAGACTCCAAACCAAGTCTTGGATAAGAGTCATACACGGGTAAGCCACCAAAAAATTAGCAAATTGATGAGTCCCACAAAGGAGGGAAACCCAACAATTCTCCCCCTCCCGACTTATGTGGAGGATTCGACCATTCCCGCCAAAAGTCGACACTTCTCATGCTTGTCCTTAGTCAATGTCTTAGTTAACATATCCGAAGTGTTATCATCAGTGTGAATTTTTTCAAGTTGTAACAACTTATCATTCAAGACATCACGAATCCAATGATATCTAACATCAATATGTTTCGATCTCGAATGAAATGAAGAATTCTTGCTCAAGTGGATTGCACTCTGACTATCACAATGAAGGACATACCTTTCTTGTTTCAAACCCAACTCTTGTAAGAATTCCTTCAACCACAATAATTCTTTGCAAGCTTCAGTGATGGCGATGAACTCAGCTTCTGTGGTGGAGAGAGCAACACATTTCTGTAATCTTGATTGCCATGCCACTGCTCCCCCTGCAAAAGTAATCAAATAACCAGAAGTAGATTTTCGACTATCAACATCACCAGCCATATCAGAATCTGTGAACCCATCAAGAATAGGCTCGCCTTTACCAAAACACAAACTCATCTTTGAAGTGCCCTGAAGATACCTCATAATCCATTTCACTGCTGCCCAGTGTTCTTTCCCTGGATTAGACAAAAATCGACTGACAACCCCAACTGCGTGAGCAATATCCGGTCGAGTACAAACCATGGCGTACATCAAAGAACCAACTGCTGAAGCATAGGGAATTTTCTGCATCTCATTTCTCTTTTCATCACTTGTAGGACACTGACTTGAGCTTAGTTTGAAGTGGCCTGCAAGTGGACAATTAACAGGCTTTGCTTTGTCCATATTGAACCTCTCAAGAACCTTTTTAATATAATTCTCTTGAGATAACCAAATCAGCCCATGTGATCTGTCACGAACAATTCTCATCCCAAGAATTTGCTTTGCTGGACCCAAATCCTTCATGGCAAAGGACTTACTCAACTCTGACTTCAACTTGCTAATCTTACTCGTGTCTTGGCCCACAATAAGCATATCATCAACGTAAAGCAAGAGAATAATAAAATTACCATCTTTATATTTCTTCACAAACACACAATGGTCTGAAGTGGTTCTTGAATACCCATTCTCACTCATGAAAGCATCGAATTTTCTGTACCACTGCCTCGGTGCTTGCTTCAATCCATACAAGCTCTTCTTCAATTTGCAAACTAACTGATCATTACCCTTATCTTTGAAGCCCTCAGGTTGCTCCATATAAATTTCCTCTTCTAAGTCACCATGCAAAAATGCGGTCTTCACATCAAGCTGCTCAACTTCTAAATTCATACTCGCAGCTATACCAAGCACAGTTCGAATGGAGGACATCTTCACAACTGGTGAGAAGATCTCATCAAAATCAACTCCCTTTCTCTGATCAAAACCTTTCACGACAAGTCGTGCCTTGAATCTCGGTTGAGAACTGTTCCCATCATTCTTTCGTCTGAAGACCCATTTATTTTTCAAAATTTTCTTCCCTTTAGGCGGCTTCACCAAATCATAGGTGTGATTCTCATGCAAAGACTTCATTTCCTCTTTCATTGCCTTGAACCATTCAGTTTTGTTCTCATGCTTCAAGACTTCTTGATAAGTCCCTGGCTCCCCCTGATCTGATATCATCACATACTCATTTGAAGAATATTTTCTGGATGACTGTTTTTCTCTAGTAGATCTCCTTAACGGTGTCTGTGGTAGTGGCTCTTGGGGTGGTTGCTCCCCCTCAATCTCTGGCTCAACATCATCTTCTGCTGCATCATCATGAGGTGTTTGCACTTCCTCATCAATATCATGAACAGCAGAGGGATTGAGAGGATCTAAATCAACAAGATCATCAGTACTAGACTCAGCTGACTCAAGCTTGTCGATGTCTTCAATAGTCTGATCTTCCAAGAAAACAACATCTCGGCTTCTGACAACTTTCTTGTCAACTGTATCATACAACCTGTATCCAAATTCTTCATGCCCATAGCCAAGAAATATGCATTGCTTTGCTTTTGGATCAAGCTTGGACCTTTCATCTTTTGGAATATGAACAAAAGCTCTGCAGCCGAATACCCTCAAGTGATCATAGGAGACTTCCTTCCCTGTCCAAACTTTCTCTGGCACATCACCATTCAACGGAACTGAAGGAGACAAATTGATAAGATCAACTGCGGTCCTCATTGCCTCACCCCAAAAGGATCTTGGCAATTTAGAATGTGAGAGCAAACATCTGACTCTCTCAAGAATGGTGCGATTCATTCTCTCTGCAACCCCGTTCTGTTGAGGTGTCTTTTTAACTGTCTTTTCATGCCTGATACCATGATTTGTGCAATACTGATCAAATGGTCCAATATATTCACCACCATTATCCGAGCGAACACATTTCAACTGTCTACCTGTTTCTCTTTCAACCTTGGCATGAAAAATCTTAAACACATCTAGAACTTGATCTTTAGTTTTCAGTGTATAAGCCCAAACTTTTCTAGAGTGATCATCAATAAAAGTGACAAAGTATAGAGCACCACCAAGTGTCCTAACTTTCAAAGGACCACATACATCAGAATGTACCAAATCTAAAACATGAGATTTTCTAGATGCAATGTTTCTACGGAATGATATTCTGTTTTGTTTACCATGGAAACAATGAACACAAGTTTTCAAAGGCGTACCTTTTATCCCCACTAGAAGCTCTTTCTTGGACAAAACTTGCAATCCTTTTTCACTCATATGTCCAAGCCTTCTATGCCATAAATCAGTGGATGAGTCATTCTCTAAGGTATTCACAACACCCTTGCAGATTTTTGCTTGCATAGTGTAAAGAGAACAAGTCTTCTTTCCTTTTGCTACCACTAGAGAACCTTTGGAGAGCTTCCATTTTCCATTACTGAAATTGTTGATGTAGCCTTCATCATCTAACTTTCCAGCAGAGATTAAATTGAGTCGAATATCTGGTACATGCCTCACATCTCTAAGCAGCAATTTGCATCCAATATTTGTTTCCAAGCAAATGTCACCCATGCCGACAATTTTTGACACATCTTCATTTCCCATACGGACATTCCCAAAATCACCTTGTGAGTAAGAAGTAAAGAAATCAGCCCGCGAAGTAACATGAAATGAAGCTCCAGAATCAATTACCCAATCCGTCTCTTGGCCAATCAAATTAACGCTAGCATCATCACGGATAATCATGAGTTCATCATCGGTAACTACAGCTGTATCAATTTGCTTTTTCTCTGAATTTTTCTCTTTGTTCTGCTCCTTGAACTTGAGTTTTCTACATTCCCGCTTCATGTGCCCTTTCTTGTGACAATAATAGCATTCAACATCCTTTTTTGACATCGAGCTTGAACGACCTCTAGATTTATCACGGTTGTGCGGAACCCTACTCTTACTCCTGCCTCTCCCCCGGTTTTCCATTACAAGTGCCTCGGAGTAAGAAGAACCTGATGATTTTCTTCTTGTTTCTTCATTCAACAAACTGCTGGTAACTTGACTCATTGTTACCACTCCATCAGGTGCGGAGTTACTAACTGTGACCACCAAAGTTTCCCAGCTTTCGGGAAGTGAACTAAGAAGTAACAAAGCTTGCAACTCATCATCAAAAGTAATTTTCATGGCGGCCAACTGATTCACAATGCTCTTAATCTCATTCAAATGCTCTGCAATAGAAGTACCCTCCTTATATTTAGAGTTCACAAGCTTTCGAAATAAAAAGGCTTTATTCACTGCCGTCTTTCTATCATACAAACTCTCCAATTTGGTCCAAAGACCATGTGCAGATTTTTCTGTAGAGACATGATGAAAGACACTATCATCAATCCATTGCCGAATAAAACCGACAGCTTTCCGGTCTAGCTTTTTCCACTCGTCATCTTTCATCCCTTCCGGTTTGCCACTATCACCCTCTATGGGTCCATTTAAATCTTTACAAAATAAAAGATCTTCCATTTTAGTTTTCCAAGTCACCCAATTTGTGCCATTGAAACTAACCATACGTCCAACGTTGCCGTCCATAATTCACACACAGAAATATAACGAATCGGAACCGAATTAACCAATTGCTCTGATACCAGATGTTGGGAAAATAGGCTTTCCCACAAGTGTAAATCAATGGAAGCAATATAAATAAAATAACAGAAAATAAATAAGCACACAAGATTTACGTGGTTCCCTCAAATAACTTGAGGTACATCCACGACGACCGGTAGGTCAGTTTCTTCCACTATCACCAAATCAGATTACAAAGTGGCCAAAAGGCATAAGCCTTACAAACACACCAAGGTGTAAATCACAAGAGGAAAATACCTCACAAAATAAGTGAACCAAATCTCCAAGAACAAACCGCAAGAAACCCAAATATCAAGTGAAGAAATGTTACCCACTTGAAGAACAAATTTGCAGATTTTTCTGGCACCAAAAAGGAGAAGAAGAAGGCTGAATTTTTGTTGAACCAAAGACTGCCGAAAATATGTCTTCTTGCCAAACCAACAGAGAAGAGATGAACCAAAGAAAAGGACAAAACTTATTATCACCCATCATCACCATCGTCACCGCCCACCACCATAACCTATCACTACCACCACCATCGTCGTCGCCCCACCATCACCACTGCCAACCACCATTATCGTAGCTCAGAACCACTCACACCTGGCGCCACCATCACCATTGTCATTACCAATGATTGCCACTACCACTATCGTCACCCAAAACCCACCACCACTATCACATTTGCCATCCACGGCTGCTACCACCATCGCCATCACCTATGACTACCACTATCACCATTGTCACCCAAAATCTACCACCACTATCACCTTTGTCACCCATGACTGCCACCACGACCATAGTTGTCAACACCAACCACAACCATCATCGTCTCCCACCACCACCACTGTTGCCCATTGCTCAACCCCACTGCAACAGGTGCTTAAATTTATTTTTTTCTCCTCTATGTTTGAGATTTGGTTTTGGGTGTAAATACAAATATGTTTATTGTTGACTATTTTTTTTACTACTCTATGCCTTCAGGTATAGACAATAACTAGTCTTTTATACGAAAAGAAGTTTTTGAAAACCTACAAGGAGATATAGAATTATTGAAAACGTAAAGGAAGAATTAGATAATTCTGAAAATATGAGGGGGGGGGGGGGCAGGGGCCCCTCTCTCCCCACCCCCCCCCCCCCCCCCCC